CCCCCCCCCCCCCCCCCCACACACACACACACACAATACTGATGGTCCCTTCTCTCAACATTCCTCTTACAAACGTGTCAAAAGTGTTTATCCTTCTTACCCTTGGTAATATTTCGTTATTGGGGGGGGCCTAACTCATCTGCTAATAAGAACTAGACGGCCACAATATCAAAGAAAAAGCTAAAAGATCTAATGGCTGAATGCAATCAAAAGCTGTAGCTTGGAGTTCCAACGCACTTAATATTGTACCATTATATGTAACGCTATTACTTCTGTAGTTAACTCTAATTGGAGGCATTCTTGAAAATTTTAAACAGCACATACAGAATTGATGGCAACTTTTCACTTCAATTAAAATCATGTTCTTGTCCGAGAAAAAAGAGAGGAGGAAAGGACTGTGACCTGTGAGGGAAATCGACGGATGCTTTCCACTAAGTATTGATAAGATTCTCGATCACCTACAACTAGCTCTCCAACGGCTGGAATTACAGAAAATGAATAATAGTCATATCTGCACCAGAAGATGGAAATTCAAGTTAAAACTTGTTTCGATATAAGCACCAAACCTAACTGCTAAAAGAAACTCATAATAATATCTAGAGTACATCCTAGGTTGGAAATATATTGAAAGAAAGCAAATCAATTCAAAGTTAGAGAATTCAGGCTACCGAGGGCTTGATTAAGAGGGCCATTCAATAAGAACCAATAAATTTGTGATATAGAGTATACATAGTTTTCTAACAAGTAAACTTTTTATTTAGAACTCAAGGGGACAAAAATACAACCGGTAGAATAGAACCTATCCACGTAAGGTATAAAAATTAGCAAAAAGGAACTGAACTACCTTAATATGCTTATGTCAAACAATAGTAATTTAATCTTATTAGCAAATGTATACATGTACACATATGTACCTCAGTAGGAAATAAAACGTTTTAGAAAAGCACAACACATAAAAGAACAACAGAGATGAAACAATAAATTTGGTTGCATGAAACAATGATAAAAGTATTTAGATGCATGAAATCCTTCCCAGCTGGTCGTAAGAAAAGGCCTGAATGCTGTACAAACTATAGGCCTTTTGAGATTTCTTTTCAATAAACATATTATACTTGCAGCTTAATGTCTCTAATTGGAGTGCTCCTTATAAAGGACTTTGTAATAAAAAATCTAACAGGAATGCCATTAGTTGGAAAAGTTATCAGTGGGGAGTTGTAATGAATAGAGTGAGGAGGAAATAATGAAGTAAGCAATTGTTTAGTTGGTTTATGCTCGAGTGTGATCCCTAGTAAATCAACTACCTGAGTTCTATTTTAGTTCTTATATACTTTATATTTCAATAGTATTCTAGTTGTATGGGCTCTATCAAAGTTTTCTTTATTAAACCCAGTTTGAGTGGTGTTTTCTCGGGGCACTCTTAACAGGAGGAGTTATCCATTCAGCAAAAGACCATTCTTTGCAAGCTTCTCAACGGTTCTTTCAGCTTCATCTCTCTCAGTTGGGTGGTTTTCAAAGTTTCAAGTTAAGTTCAAGTCTCAAGTTTTTCATAAAGTTTGTTCTTTTCCAGCCAATTATTTGTTTTTTTTTTTTCTTTTTTTTTTTTTTTCACTCCCTTGTGGAGTTTGTATCCTTTGAGGACTAGTTTCTTTCATTTATTCAATGAAAAAATTTATTTCTTGTAAAAATAAATAAATAAATAAATAATAGACAAATAAATTCAAGTTCATCACATAGTTCGAGTTTGTAGACCACTATAAATTAAATGATGAAATATTGAATTTCCCCCAAGTAAAAGTGTGGAAGTCACATACAATTCCTTAAATATAGGAGCTTCAACATGGCTTAGCTCAAGGCAAAGGAATCTTCCTCCTCGTCTTAGAACCCTGTAAACAAACACATTTAGTAATTAAAAAAACATTTCCAAAGAAAAGCAAGAGACAAACATGAAACATTTTCTTAGACAACTTTGTTTGGGAAAAGAAAAATAATTGTTATCAAAGGAGAGAGGGTGAAGATGAGATATCTCCCTATTCAAGTGCTAAGAGAGATTATTACACAAACTCTCTAATAGAACTGAATCAGAAAAGAGAATAAGTGCAAAAATCCTTGGATAGAGCTTCCCACAGGATTATGGTTCAAAAGAATTCAGCAACCCTTTCACAATAAGTTCTTCATTTGGTCAGTGGTTTGATTTTACTGAATCCAAATCCTCTAGACAAAGTTCTTTATCCTCTATTTTTGCTAATTATATAGCAATGAAATTTGTTACAATTGAGCTTCATGCGGGTCAAGGGTATCTATTTTGTATTATGTTTTATACTTCTTTTTTCTGTATATCTTTTCAAATTTCGAATGTCACTGAGACGTTTGTTTCAATTAAAAAATAAAAAATAAAAGATAATAATAATAATAACAAAAAAAGCTCCACATAGAAGGTAGGAAAGGCTCTAGGACATATCTTCATCTACACTGCCCAAATCATGAGAATGCATATTACATTACATGGGACCTTACCCTTAAGTTTGTGACAAAAAAGAATTTGAGAAAGGGGTCTTGTTTGTTGAGTCAGTGATACCTACAAGTTAAAAACAACAGCCTGAAGATATCCCTCATAACTATCCTGGAAAATCAACAAACAAATGAGAGATTCTCCAAATCTGCGTAGCTACTCCAACAATGACTAAACCAACAAGGAGACAAGGCTACATTATGTTTCTTCCAGTGGATGTGGCTGAGGATAGTTATTTTTTCTTGAAAAATAACATAGGAAAGTTTTCATATTGTTGGGATCTTGAACTATCAAACTAGGAAAAAGCACAACCTACTCAATCCTTGATTATCCACAAGCCACGGACATCCTAGACCTCATCAACTCATACGTAAAACCTTCCACTTTGGGTCATGAAGAATTCAACCTCTTCTAGAACAAGCAAAGTAATCTTCGGACATTCTGGTCAAAATACTTGTATCATTTGAGCAAGAACCTCTAGAGGATGTCCCTTGATCCTTTGATAAGTGAAACTCACTTCGTCATTCATGCTCACAGCAGGCAAATCAAGTTCCATTTCACTCAATTTCAATCTACAGCCAATCAATGAAGCTTAAACAAGAGATGTTAAAGACCAAGACAGCAAAGGGCACATATACTTACAGTCAGGACCCTAGCATCTACTTTTAGAGCCCCAACTTATCCAAGCTACCTTTCAAGCACAGGACAACGAGATTACTCACCTTCCCCTATAGAAGCCAAGAAAGGCTTGCCTTCTTCATCTTCACCCAATTCCTAATCCTATAATGTGGTTAGGTTGAGCCATAGACCACCTCATTCAAACCCTTTAAGAAGAAAAAAAAAATCCCCTACCACCATTTGTCAGACCAAGTAGTCTCTAGCACATTCATTAGGCTGATGCCGTTTTGTATCCAAATGATGTAACATGCTCCCACCATGCGAAGCACAAAGATATCCCTTCATGAACTGACATCATGGAGTTCCCATCAAAATTCTCTATCAATTGGACATCAGTTCCCCCATAGAAACCCTCAATTGACTCAATCTCACCTAGACAAACTCTAGAAGGGGGGCGATTTCAACTTGAAGGCAACCTTATGCACAGAGGTCCAACCCTTCTCTACACAAGAATTTGCCTTATTCAGGCATAAATAATACATTTTTCCATAGGATCTAATATATGTGGAAGATAATTTCTTGAGAAGTAGAGTTTACCTATAAGCCTCATCTAGAACTTTTTCAATGTGAGTAACATTCCTAATTCCAAATGCAATCGTGTAACCATCCATTGAATTATCTTGAAAACGTAAAGCTTCTGCATCTCCTTCCACCCATATTAGAGAACTTTCTTCTCCCAGACCTAGAAGTTACAAACATTGTGATACTGTTTTCCTGACCACAAATTTCATTTACAAAATGCAGACAGTTCCAATGCCTTATTGTATATTTACCTCTCTCAATAGCTCGCTTTTTACCAACGTTTAACATCTGTGAGTTGATGTCACAAACATATATTTGAGTTTGTTCCTGTAAATCATCTTCCCGAACATCTTGCATTGCTCTACGTTTGACGTCATTAATCCTTTCTAGGATCCTGAAAGCAACATCACCTGCAATATGTGAGAAATTAATATAACATCTAATAATTGTCACATCTTTTAAGCACAAAAGGGACACAAGTTCATGTGATGAGTAAGTAGATACCGTTTTAATATTCAAGGTTACTTGCATCTAAAGAAAACTTCCATCAACAGCTTCAAATAGGTTACAAATGGAAGATAACCAAACAAACATTTGCACCCACACAAGATTCTTGAAACAAAAAAAATTTAGATTGTTTTTTAGTAAAAAAAACACAGGCTATCAGAATAAACTAATGAGAAGCGAACAAGAGATTAAAAAGAGAGAAGGAAAGGGTAAATTAGAGAAAATACTCTTGAACTTTGTACCTCGCTTCAATAATACCCATGTAAACATTGCATTAATGCCCGACCTTTTAGAAACTTTCAAAAGTACCCTTGTCGTTATGTAGGTGGATGGAAAACATTAATCCTAAACCCATCACTTCCCTCCTCCATTTCCTCTCCCCTCTCTCTCTCATCTGCTCAAATCCATGGCCAAATACTTCCCCACTTCAACTCTTTTTTTCCCTCCTTCCTTTATTACCCTCTTAATCCCCCTTCTCCCTCTTTTTTCCAATGGATTTCAAATATCTCTTTCCCTGAGATTTCAAGCTGCATTTTATTAAAAATTGCAACACGTTCCACGTTTCATGAGAGAAATAAGAAAGAGGGATTTGGAATTGGAATTGGAATTTGAAATGCTGGGAAGAAGAAGGGTAGTTTAGGGTAGTTAAGAAGGCATTGAAGAAGAGGAGAAAAAATAGGGAAAATGGAGAAGTGTTAAGCAATGGATTGAAACAAATAAGAGAAATAAAAGAGAAGAAATGGAAGAAGTGATGGAGTTAGGATAAACGTTGTTGTCCACCTACTTAATTATAAGGGTTTTTTTTTTTTACTTTTTTTTTTTTTCTAAATCAAGGAAATTAATGCAACTTTTATAGTTCAAGAATATTATTGAACGAGGTACAAAGTCCAAAGGTATATCTATAATTTAGCCAAAATGGAAAAAAATGAAGAAGCAAAAGATGAAGAACTAACCCATAACCTAACACACTGCACAATATCTCCTATTTTCCATCACTTAAGGTTTACTATTTCTGCCCTGACAAAGGGGAATGGTTTTTGCTCTCTCTCTCTCTCTCTAACAGACTCGAGGAGATTCGCAGCATATGCCACCATATAACACATTCATATAATGATCCTTTAACAGAAATCAAAATTCGTAAGAAAGAACCAAAAAACACACATCCATGCAATGATTAAGAAATATGTCCATTGTTTTAACATTTACGAAATGAACTAACATGTCAAATAGAACTTCCATGATAGCTCACTAATGGGTAAAAAAATCCTGGGATGGTAATAGGTGTCTTATCGACTAAGCTATATTCATATCAACAAATCTATAAAATTAATAACTAGATTGTATTGTTTTTGAAGTCAAAGAGGATTACAAAGCATTACTACTTATAATTCACTTTGAACAAAACCATATTCTATTACTATTCTTTAAGGTCTTCCTTTTCTGGACTGGCAAGTGCAACTGCATGGTAATTGAGAGGAACGAGGGAAATGTTCAACAACAATGATCTGGTTAACTAAAATTTTTAAATTATAGTCATGAATATTTGGGCACGTGCGTGTAACTTGACTAATATCATGACACAACTACCAAACATTTGAATGTCAAGGAAACTTGTAAAATTTTAAATTCTAGATAAGTGTGCACCAGGATTTGAACCCACCCCCTCTAAGCTCCTTACTTTTTTCGCAGATTTGAATGACTACAGACCACTAAGCTCTTTGCTTTTTTTACAGACTTGAATGACCACTAACCACTAGGCACATGCATGGTAATTGGCTACCAGCAATTGATCTTGTACTTCAGAACTTAAAAAGTTTCCAAATCAACACAAATTAATAGGCTCAAAAACAAAGTATAGAATCTTTGCAAACGATGTAGCCAAAAATAAAATGTCTCTTCTTAATCAAAGTTAGAATTGACATCACAACATAAAAATAAAATAACTTACATACCTGTACCACCAGCAACATCAAGATGCTTCATTCCAGGAAAAGGATTTAGCTCGGAAACGAGTCTATAATATTTAGCAAAAACATTAAGAGAGAGAGAGAGAGAGAGAGAAAAATGTATGCTTTCTGCGTGTGAGGGAATGAAATTCCAGTTCAAAGAGTAGCACCTGTCTTTCCACAATCTATGCAATCCAGCACTCATCAAATCATTCATCAGATCATAGTTTGAAGCAACATTGCTGAAGACATTACCAACTAGTCGGCTTTTTTCCTCTTCAGGCACTTCTTTGAATCCTGCAAAAAGTACCCGTAGACAATTATTTCTCATTTTTATATATAAAAGAGGCTTAAAACGAGAAATTAAAGTTACATTTTATATTAGAAAAAGACTTGTATTGATCAAACAAAGGATGTACGAAAATGGAGATGAGGTATCCCCGTAGAGCCAAGTCACGAAAAAGACAACATATTGGCAGAAATTTGAGAAAAACCAAAATTTACAAAAATCAGTATAACAAGAGCACCATTCAGAAGCATGAGAATTAAAAAGAACCTAGAAACACCCCTAGAAGAATCTTCCCCTTGGAAGGTTCTTGTATTCATCTCGAGGCTAAGAGTTAGAGTCTTGTCTCGAGGCAAGCTTCAATGCATAAGCCTAAATAGCCTTTTTAAGACATCGGAAACCCTTTGAAAGCTTATATGTATATGTACATAATTTATATATATATGTGTGTGTGTGCGCGCGCGCTCTGAAATACTAAACTTCTTTTAACTTTCATTGAGAAAAAAAAAAAAAAAAAAAAAGCTTCAAAATATTGAAAAGCATGTACCACCACGTTGCAGCAAAGGGAAATCAAACAGGTGCCTTCCATTTTCCCATCTCTCTTATATAAAATGAACCAGCATGATATAAAATACCGACTCAGCATTCTCATTGGAGCCTATCATAAGTATTTAGCTTCTCCAAAGAAAAAATCCATCAAAACACTTTTTATCTTTTTAGAGACATTAGACTTCCAGATAGCATCCATAGACACATTGCAACAAACTTCACCATCTGCAGAGCTCTTGCTTAGCATATTGGCCATGGACTTCAAAGAAAAAACACCCTCTCTTTCCAACGTGCATCTTTTGCTATCTCCCTCTCTTTCCAAGTTACTTTGAGTTCACCAAAAAACTACTCTCTCTTTCCAAGTTACTTTAAGTTCACATCAAACTGGTTTGAAATCTAAAACAAGCTTCAATCACTCAAAATTAACCGTCATTAATTAAATACTAGCATATCAAGTAGACAGTAAACTTCCCTTCAATAAATATATGTAGACAATGTCTCGCTATTACTAAAAAATTTATTATAACAATTTAAAAATTCTATATTTGGAGAAAAATAAAATTTTGTGCCATAAACTACTAAAATTCAAGATAAAATAAAATTTAATAATATTAAATTTATATAAAATGTGAAAATTCAGTATATAAAGCAATATAGATTTAAATCATTATATCAGAAAACATAGTGATAGTAGCTTCTTCAAGTAGCACAAAACTACCTTTTGAATATATGGGCAAAGAAATTTAGTGTAACGTCTCAGATTCACAGCTAGCAAATATTGTTCTCTTTAGGTTTTCCCTTTCGGGCTTCCCCTCAAGGCTTTAAAACGCGTATGCTAGGGGAAGGTTTCCACTCCCTTATGAAGGGTGTTTTGTTCTCCTCCCCAACCAATGTGGGACATCACATTTAGAAACTCAACATCAATTTAGCCATTGAACAAAAATGAAAATTAGTAATGCTCCATAAATCTTATCTATTTCTCATACTCCTTGATAAATGGATTTATTTAAAAGAGGGATATTGACATAGTCATTGAAAAAAGATTTAAAAAATATATATACCCCGAGAGGAACTTTAAAATATACAAGGACAGGTTGAACTAAAATGGTCGACCTTTAGAGAACAATCATCCTTCCAGTTCTGCAGCCTTTTCTCCTCCCTTTCATCCCCAAATTCCAAAGCTTATTTTAAGGGAATTCTTCCCAAATAGAAAAAATGATTATCTTAAATTTAAAAATGGTATTAACATCGTAGAAGCTAAATTCTTCAGTTTTGAACCAATTCTACATAACAATAAATCCTAAGAACCTTATTGTTTCACCAACAAAAATATTATATACTATTTTGAAAACTAGAAGATTTTTTGCTAACAATAAAGGTATGTAACTCCTAGTTGCAACAGCGTTAACAACTATTGAGATACATTATTAATATTGACACTTCAAAATCAAGTATAGATAGAGCTCCAAATCCCTTGATCTAATGCGAGAGAGAGGGAGAGGAACCAACCAAAACTTGTAGCATGTGAATGTAAATGATTGGCAGAAGAAAACATTGGAAACAATTTACTTCCAATCCTTCTAGCCACTAAACGCAAAGCCATGACTGCAATATAGAAACAAACAAAAATTAAAATCTCGAAGGTCCAACTAAAGAACATGCATTCATAAATAATCGAATTCATACAAAAATTTGAAGAATAGAAGACAATAGAAATGAAATAGTAGCTTTGATTTGAATCTTGCTATTGGCAAACCGAATTGAATATCCTATTTTACGAATAGTTTTGAATCGAACCATCATCAGTGAACTCTATTTCCGCTCCATTTCAGTTTCGAACGAATGATTGTGAAACAGAAATTCATTACAAGAAGAATTGAAAAATCAAATAAAAACAATTGCGCCATTGGCAGATTTACCTTGCAACTAAAAATCGAAAGGGACTGATGAAGAAGGACTGAAGATTCAATTGTGTATATCGGAGCTGAAACTTGAATTTCAGAGAGACGAATCAGTGGAGACGGTGAGAAGGAGAGACGCCTGAATCGGACGGGAACCCTGTGAGCGGTTCTTCCTGGACCGTTCGGTAACTCTATTTTTTAATATTATTTTTAAAAATACAAATTAAAAGAAAAAAAAAAAAGGACAAAAATCAATTTATAAGATTGTATTAATAAAATTATAAATTAATATTGGTATCAATCTTTTTCAAATAATTAATTATTTTTAAATAAAGGGTTTAATTTTTTAATAAATAGATAATCATTATAAATAAACGTTGAAAATATACTTATGAAAACTATTGACGATGCTCGTTAGTGCAGTAAGCAGTGGGGTGAGAGGTACATAGAGGTAAATGATGTTTTAACGAGTGAATTATGTTCACGATAGCGAACATAAATAAAAACCTACGAGCAAAAGTTGCAACCATTTAAGTACCATTCTCAAAATCTTATGAAATATAAAATATCTCTTATTATATCTCAATTATGTTACATTTCTACAAACTCGAACATAGTTTAATGATTAAAGTACGTCAAGAATCATAGTCTCAAATTTTAATGATTAAAGTACCTCGAGATCATAGTCTCAAGTTTCATGTTCATATTTGTGAAGTAGTATCGAAAATTTCACTTCGACAACTCAATTTGTTTGATAAGACCAAGTCTTTCCTTGAGGAAAGTGTAACAGCTTAAGCTTACCGTTAGCAAACATTGTCTTCTTTAGGCTTTCTTTTTCGGACTTTCCATCAAGGTTTTTAAAACGCATCTACTAGGGAGAGGTCTCCTCACTCTTATAAATAATGTTTAGGTCTCCTCTCTAACCGATGTGAGATCTCACAATCCAACTCCTTTCAGGTTTCAGCATCCTCACTAGCAATTGTTCTGTTCTCTAATCGATGTAGAGCCCCAATCCACCCCTTCAAGGCTCAGCCTCCTCACTGGCACATCGCCCAGGGTTGGTCTAATACCATTAGTAACAACTCAAGCCCACCACTACTAGCAGATATTATACTCTTCAGACTCTCTTTCGAACTTCCCCTCAAAGTTTTTAGAACACGTATGCTAGAAAGAGGTCTTCACACTCTTACAACAATGTTTTGTTCTCCTCCCCAACCAATACAAAATTTCACAAAAAGAGTCGAGTCACAAATAGGTTTTTTTTAACAAAAAAAAAAAAAAACCACCTTCCGCACGGTTAAGCAAGTACGCAAAAGCTCTCTCGCCCTATTGAATAAAAATTTTGGGACGAAGCTCGACAACTTAAAATTGAGAAAACTTCAATATCAATAAAACAAGCGAGTCTTCCGACCTTACCTAAAAAAAACACAAATAAAACGAACTCTCTTGCAAGACACTCCAACTTTCACATCATCATTCTATCATTCAGTTCCATTTTTTCCAGTAAAAGAAACAGAAACAAAACTAAATCTTCTAAAACAATGGAAACCAAAATAGCATATTAAGCCCAAAAAGAACAACTTGATCATCATCATCATCATTTCAAGCAATAAGGCAATGGCTTTGGTAAAGCATTCACAAATAGAGCAAATATGGAAAGCTCTTTGGATGCACTAAACATTCATCATACATTCATACAAACAGATTCAGATTAACCACAACCATCCCATTCCCTACATCACCAACAAAACGAAAATCAAAGCCATAACGCAATATGACTTCTTTTATCTACTTATCTTCTTTCTCTTTTCTTCACCACCTGATTGATATAATAAAACAGACGCAATACACATGTATAATCTAATCACAACCAGCAACCATCCAAATCGTCAGTATCGACCACCTCTTTTCGACATCAGATTCAACAGTTTCATAAGATTATATAAACGATAAGTTCAAACAGGGTGCATCGTCAAACTACTCTTTTTTTTTTCTTTTTTTTTCTTTTTTTTGTATTTACTTGGACAGGTTTGTGTTTTATTCCCCAAATATCTATCTCTATGACATGACTAACTTGGTTATATACCCCTTTTCATTGGCAGACACACAACCCAGTTTTGTATGATTAACAACTGTAAATTAAAACACTCATTCCATCCCTCCACAGATTCAGAGCATACCCGCTACCACTAGAAAGAATTTGCTCTTGTAAGAATGCGCTGTGGTGGTCTCCGCTTCTCGCTGATCGGAATGAGTTTCTCCTTGAGCTTCAATAAAGATACCAGTTCGTTACTAATACTATCACCAGTAAAGAGCATCAAATCAATCCATTTCAAGAGGGTAAAAGGTAATCAAACAAAACAACTATTGAATGCTAATGGAGTTTTGATCAAGCAAATTATATCTAATTGCATCATTCGATTCGAATGTCAATCACCATAAAGCTCAATAACTTGTGTGAAATAACAAATTGGGATTTTGTTGTGTTTCGGTGAGCGTAGAACACACAGCCAATACATGTAACTGAAATGTAATTAGAGGCAGGTCATATTTGGAGTTCAATGGACAAATTTCAGATGGTTCAAGGAAACATGAAATGGGCATAATGTTCTTTCTAAAGAATGTGTTTGTTGAAAAAACCAGAAAATCAGCAACTTCAGAGCAATACTATGAAGTAGCCATGTCTTTTGAGATGGAAAAAGACAGTTCCAACAATAAATGACTATGAAAACACTCGCAGAAAGGAAAACGTTCAAATGCTTACAAATATAAACTAAGACGTAAAAACATGCCAAGTTTATATGTACCAAGTGAAGTTACTCCAAATGAAGCGGAGAAATTTTTCAAAGAGACTGGCACAATCAATAACTTTCCCCAAACCCCGCTGAACTCAAATTCTAGGAATCAATTGTGATGCAAAGATGAAAGAATTATACATTACTATCTGAACTAAATGATGATACCTTAAGAAAACTGGTCGGGTGTTTTCAATCCAAATAAAATAAGAACTAATTGCTAATTCTAATTCCTAATGAACAGTTATCCATTCAATACCGTAAACCACACAACTTAGGTAAATGCATCTTTCTAATTGCTTGCATTCCATAATAAGAATATAAAAGCAATTATTGGGATGGGATTTCTTTAATGATTTCCAAAGGTTAAAATCAAAAGGGTAAAAATATTCTTTTCTTGTCGGCTTCATTGCTTCAGGATTCTTCTTGGTCACCTTATTTTTTCATCCTTACTGTGTTCACATTTGGTTAATGAATACATTACTGTGAATTTTACCTTTTACTGATAAATATATTACTCTGGATTTTATGCATACATTATATACTCAGAGAGATATTAATGCGAAGATCACCGAAGTACCAGTACGACATTTAATCATCTTTTCAGACCTCTTACCTAGAAATGTTTAGGTTGTTTTTCGGAACGACTTTAATAACTCCAGAATAAATGAAATAACAAAATCCAAGTGCACAGAAACCATTTTTTATATTGAAGTACTTTTTTTAAAAAAATATATGAGCTCAAAAAGATTATAGGTACTTTTTAAAAAACGTCTCTTTCATGCTCAATGTTTCAACGGGCTTTCGAATGAAAATTTTACTGATAATATATAAATTAAGACAAATTGGTCGGCTACAAAAAATAAGAAAAATCATGTCGAACAAGAAGTACATACCTGCTTAGACCGTTCCTTGATGTGCTCAGCCTGCATTTAGAATTTGATTCCTCAGAACTTCTGAATGGATGATGATTTAGACTCGATACATACAGAAATCCTAAGATGAATCCAGCATGCAGCGGACCAAAGTCATCAAACAAGTCAAGAACATACTAGTAAAATGAGCACAACTCATTGGCATGTTGTGACCTAGTTCCAAAAGTGACGACCATGGAATGGCGTTTTTTATGGCATTAATAGTGCATATAATGTTACTAGCTATAGAGAAGTATGTATAGAAGGTGAGGTTAGCAGAATAAAGGAAACTAATAATTTGTGAATGGTGATTAGTTTTACTGAATTAATTGTTGACCATGATGTCCCAAAAGTATTATTGTAGATCACAGTTAATGGGAACTTCCTCGTATTTCTTTCGAGTAGAAGAATCACTGCCTGTTACAATCTCAGGGAGAATGAAGAGGAAACAGAAGCAAATGTTCAGGAGGGTCAGATCCTTCAGCTTCTTGGACTCTTGAGAAAGGAGACGGGGCATTGCCGAACTCCTATGAGCCATAAACTCCGACAATGAAACTAGTGATACCATCAACATCTCAGTCACAGAACGGCCAGAGGCCATGTTTGTTGTTCAAGTCCAGCTCAAACTTCTTAGATGCAACTTTCTTATACCAACAATACCTTGGAGAAATACTCTTATATTCACCATGTTCTAGCCAATTCAGGCATCTTAACAAACGTGTAGAACCCTGAAGAAATGGCTGGGGTACACCTCCAGTTACCCTAACAATGACTCAAACTAGTAATAACCCCTTATGTTCTGAGACTTCCACAGCCTTTCAGGAAAAGAACAACCAAGATCAGGATCCTCTCCCCCTTCAGGTCAACAGGGTCAGTCTAGTTTTTCCCTCGTCTTTCAACCATAAGTTTCGAAAAGAAACTACAACAGAACGTACAGAATAATACTGGTTTAAGAAAAGGTTACATGAATCACTTGAGAGTCATCTCCTTGAGTGGCACAAACTAACATTAGAACATGCAATCCAACTGATTATCGTGTCGATAGGTATTATGTTGGTGGAAGCACGAAAGGGACGGGGGCGATGAATGCAGTGATACTATACTTGATTAAATATGAAAAACAACTACCAAAATATCCATCAGAAGAACAGAACAACAGGAATTTTAGTCAGAGGTACCTCTTCTCTCAATAGCCGTGCATTTTCCTCCTCCAGTTGGGTCACGAGAGACTCTAGCTCTAGCGTATATGCCTAAACATAAACGCACAAAATTAAACCTCGTAGGAATGAAGTTCAAGAACTCAGCTTCCAAGACAGCCAAAATAATAGAACTCTTTAAGTTTATGAGCCCCACATGAACAAGTGATGCATTGAAACAAGAAGATTACGATAAAACAACGCATGATTTCTGACATTAAGAACAAATCCCTCACCTGTTTGCGTTCCCTAGAGCGGGCAGCGGATTCCCTGTTCTTGATCATCCGTC